GTGATTTCTTTTTCCCTCTCACTGTCTCTGTCTTTCTCTGAATAGTGCACATGTCCTGAAGGCAAAAACCTCTAAAAAAAATCTTAATTTGTCTTAGTACTGTGCTCAACTCTTCACATATGTTACTTTATTCTTAACAACTTCATAGCATAAGTTTTGTTTGTTTTGAGAGATATTTGCTATAGGGCACATGCACTCACCAGAGAAACAGAGAGATAGAATCAACCCTCATGGAAATGGCCACACCACAATTCCTTCTCCTCCATTCTCCTCTCAGGAATTTAGGCACACATGCACATGCACCCAAGGTGAGTTTTGAGCCAACTGGTCTGGGACAAGAACCACAATCAACTATGTGTGCATCCAGCAACATAACCATTACGTCATATGTTGGTCCAGGCATAGTTTTTTTTTTTTTTTTTTTTATTATTATCACTGTCATTTCACAGATGAGGAAACAGAAACTTAGGAAAGTTGAGAATTTGTGTATACCTCACAGGTTTTGATTCTGACTGAGTTTGGACCCTTTACCAGAAACCATGCAAACTTTAACTGAAAGTGGAACAGTGGGCAGTCCCAAGGGATGAGACATTCAATATACACTATTACACAACTGCCCCTTCATTTATGTGGAGAGCATCTATGTGGAAGCTGGTTATTCACATTATGTATTTCCTTCGTGCCAGTGAAAAATATTCCTTTGTTTTCTACTTTGGCCTTTAGACTGAATAATTCATAGGGATTTTTTCATACTTATAGTCATATATGAATTATTACTTAGTTATAGTCATAAGTGTACCTACCCATTTTGCTATTATATTTAAAGTCTTTTTTTAAATTTTTGCTATAGGTCACATATACTTGCTGGAAACAGATAGAGAGAAATAGGTAAATAGATATCACCCACCGAGTGAGGATGGTCCCTCACCTGTCTATATCTAAGGTACATCTCTTTACCTCTTCCTGAATATATTGCCTATTGTCTCCCCTGTAGTCAGTTCAATGTGGCTGTCATCATTAGAACCATGAAATTGTATGCTAAACTCAAACCTTGAATGAGAACAACTTTCCTACCTAGCTTTTGAAGTTTTACTTAAAATGACAACTCTAGACTACATATATATAAGCAGTTGTTCTTAGAGTTTAGTGTGGTCTGATTTGAAAAATGTAAAATTTGTCTTTAGTAGCCTGCAAATTTTCTTTCTGAATCTACTACTCTACTTTATACAGTCAAGACTCACTCTAAGAATATATATTTATTAACACACCAAAATAATACTCCTAAACTTACTCAGGATTGTTTTGAATAATTGGGGTTACAGTCTAAGACAATGAACTCTTCTTTCAAAATTTGACACTGTTTTTCTAGCCAAATTTGCTAATACCTCAAAAATACATCTGCTTCTGCTTGAGTATCAGTTAGGGATAATGGGTTAATGTTCTGTATTCATCAAGGTCCTCTGGAGAAAAAAAAAGGAAATAGATAGATAGATAGATAGATAGATAGATGGATGAAGCATAGATAGAGAATAGATAAATAGGGGAAGGAAAAAAAGAAAGCTATTATAAGAATTCGTTTATGTGGTTATAGAGTCTGAGAAGCCCTATAGTTGGCTATCTAGAAGCTGAAAAATGAGGAATGCACATGGAATAATTTAGTTGGAATCTAAAGACCTGAGAATAACAGAGTTGATTATGTAATTGCTCCTGAGTCCCAAAACCCAAGAACCAGGAGTGCTGATGTCCAAGAGCAGGAGAAGGTAGACATCTCTCTTTAAGGAGAGGAGAAAATTTCTCCTGTCTTCGCCTTTCTGTTATCTGAACCCTCAGAGGATTGGATGATGCACATCCACATTGGGAAGGGCCACCAGCTTATTCAGTTCACCACGTCAGATGCTAATCTCTTCCAGAAATACTCTCATAGACCTACCCAGAAATCATGTCTTACCAGATATCTGGGCATCTTTTAGCCCAGTCAAGATGATACATAAAATTAACCATGATAGCGACCAGCAGTTGGCATAATGGCTATGCCACTGGACTCCCACATAGTCAACCATGGTTCAAGTCCCAAACCCGGTGGCTTAAACTCACGCCAGGCACGTGTGCATGTGTGCCCAAGATCCTGACAGGAGAATGGAGGAAAAGGGATTGTGGCATGGCCATCCCCCCTGGGGGTGATTTCTCGCTTTCTGTCTCTCTGTCTTTCTCTGTCTTTCTGGCGAGTGCACATGCCCTGTAGCACAAAACAAACAAACAAAACTCAAAAAAAGACAAATAATAAAAAAAACACCATAATATATATGAATTCATATCTGATAAAACAATTAATTATATTTTACTAGTTGTTCTCTGAAGAGTTAAGTACTTGTTATAGTGGCAGTATTGTTAAACCCAATCACAGTAGAACCACATATGCAAGTTGTCCTCCTGAACACAACTCCGTCCCTTGAACCACAATAAGAATTGTTTGAATTTTAATGGCAAGTGGGAAAAAAGAGAACTGTACTACGATAAGGATATATGTGTCTGTGTGTGTATATATATATACATATATATGTATGTGTGTATATATAGTAATCCATATGGTCTAAAAAGGATAAAAATATGATGTATTGGATGTGTTGTGAAATAAGCTTGAAAAATCTTGAATTAACAATATAAAACAAGCTTCTTTCTTCTTCTTGTGGATTTCAGTTAAAAGCCACCTTCATGCCAGGAGCAATGATTTAATAGGTAGCATTTTATGAATTGTATTATTGCCTCCAGTTTTCTCCTACGTATTTGTGGGATTCACAAGTTTTCTGCTACTAAAAGTCTCTATATACAGAAGTTACTCAAAAGAATTGCTTCTGTTGTTGTTGAAGAAATGAGATATAATTTGCTGGTTAGTACTTTAGGTTTCCAGATAAATTGGGTATAGATTCTGGACTCTAAGAACATGTTATCCTGGAGAATTTCTTATTCGTTTTCCTGTACAGATCCCTAATAAATAATGGTAAAAAGTAGGTTACCCAGTACAAATATGGTTTTTTTTTTTTTTTTGAGAGGTTTTTGCTATAGGGCGCGTGCGCTCGCCAGACAGACAGAGACAGAGAGACAGAAAGCAGGAAATCACCCCCCAGGGGGGATGGCCACGCCGCAATCCCTTCTCCTCCATTCTCCTCTCGGGATCTTGGGCACGCTCGCACACGCGCCCGGCGTGAGTTTAAGCCACCGGGTCCGGGACTCGAACCACGGTTGACTACGTGGGAGTCCAGCGACATAGCCATTACGCTAACTGCTGGTCCCCAAATATGGTTTTAAGATGTGACAGTGGTAACAAAAAAGCAGAACTTACTTTCCGTAATACCATAATGAAGAAGAAATACAAGAGAGTCCTTATAAAGACTCATGTTTTGAACTATACATCTAAACTTTGGTTTCTGAAGTTGTGGTTTATTACTTAATATAGTCTCCTCTGATTACTGGAATTGCAGGTCCTTAAACTGATATCCGAGTTGAGGATTATGGCAAACACTATCTCCTGGTTTTTCCAGGGCTGCCATCAAATCTGGATGAGGGGAAGTTGTTGGGTAATTCCTGACCATGGTTAGCTTTAAAGGAAAGTTTGACAATGTTGAAAGGAGACAGCATGTTTTTAATTCCCTGCATATGTTTCTGTACTTCAATGTCTCTGTAAATTGGCATTGCCATTTGGTATAACCTTTCAAGAAAACAGACTCCTTCACAGCAAAATAAATGTATATGATGATACCAGAGGAATATAAAGAAGCTAGGCTAACAGTTTCTAAGGCAATGTCCTTAGGGAAGAAAACAAAAACATAAACATAGCACTCAGGAAGGAAACTTGGTCATGAACCTGGTAGAATTATGGTATACCAACTTTATGAATCAATTCGTCATTTTCCACCTTACGTTTCAGAGTAATGACACAACCTCACAGAAGCCACCACATTTAGTTTAATTAAGAGAAAATGTATTTGGAATTACAAGTTTAATAACTCTGGTACCAGTGAAGCAGATCACAATGAGGGAGCAGCTGCTTTGCAATTCAAAACAGATGGTGCCTCTCTTTTTCTATTCAGATTTCCGTTTCAAAAGGCCAGGGCCATTGAGTACCTGAAAAGCAATGACTTCAAGACTCTAAGTCATGAAACATGTGCATATAGGAATGATGCTAGCAATGTTTTGTAGTTCTGCATATTTTACTTTAAGCTCAATATTGGAATTATAGATATAGATTTATAGATATATGTGTCACAAAAATGGAAGAAATTAGTCAATGCAGAAAGAAAGAGAAAGCTGTTTTGAGTAGCTTAACATTTGTCAGTAACTGCCCAGGTGTGGGTTTTTTTTTTTTTTTCTTAGAAGGTTTTGCTATAGGATGCGTGCACTCACCAGAAAGATAGAGACAGAGAGACAGAAAGCAAGAAATCACCCCCCAGTGGGGATGGTCACGCCACAATTCCTTCTCCTCTTGGGATCTTGGGCACACACGAACATGCACCCGGCATGAGTCTAAGCCACTGGGTCCAGGACTCGAACCCCGGTCGACTACGTGGGAGTCCAGTGACATAGTCATTACACCAACTGCTGGTCCCCCCAGGTGGTTTTATAATAGGTAGAAATAGCTGATTTTAGTAGTATGGCATGTTAACTGTAGAAAACACACTAGGTAGAGGATTATGGTAGAAAACTATAGAACAACTTATTCCTAGGGTTTTCACAGGAGGGACTATCTTCTTTATTTTTTATGACTTTAATCTCATAACAGAATTTATAACACCTTGTATCAAAAACAGGGATTTGGCATAAATATTTCCATGATTTTATGAAACTAATTTTAGACACTAATTTTTTTTAAGCAAGTCTCTGTCTCAGATTGCTAATTTTTTGGTTTCTCATCCTAAAACTAGGAAAAAAATGGTTTAGTCATCTAATTATATAAATACATGCATATGTTCATGGAGCCTAAATCTATATTCATAAATAAGTACTGGATGTGTGGGCACCACGCAGGCTTCTCTGGTAGTCTGAAAGCCTCGGAGGGCAAGGTCTGAGTCTGAGGCATCGAGCATACTGCATAGCTTATTGCCAAAAGCCTGACTCATGTGCTCAGTAAACTATGTGTCAATAGATGGATCAATTGTCAGGTTGTCTGCATTTGAGAGGACCTTTTAATCTTCTTGCCCATCCTAAAATGACCTGTATTGACACTTAAATAATTAGCTGGGAAACAGTGTAAAATTAAATATACAATCATACTTTTGGTAATAAGCTTGGTGTTTCAAATTAGATGTTTAGTATTGATGCTACTCAGAATGGCCATAATAGTTTAAAACAAGATATACATAATAAAGATATTCTCTATTGATAGTATGAAGAAATCAATAAAGATACTTAAAAACATTTAATCTTCCTACTCCCATTTTTTGCACTCAAAAAATACTTTGCTGGGACCAGCAGTTAGCATAATGGCTATGTTGCTGAACTCCCATGTAGCCAACTGCGGTTCAAGTCCCAGACCTGGTGGCTTAAAACTCACCCCAGGCATGTGTGTGTGCGTGCCCAAGATCCCGAGGGGAGAATGGAGGAGAAGGGATTGCAGCATGGCCACCCCCCTGGGGGGTGATTTCTCACTTTCTGTCTCTCTGTCTCTCTCTGTCTGGTGAGCACACGTGCCCTATAGCAAAAACCTCTCCAAAAAAAAAAAAAAAATGCTGATACACACACACACGCACTTTTGTATCCTACCTTGTTTCTTTAACCATATAACAATCTTAATGTGAAAGTCTTCTCTTAAATTGTTCTACATAGATTCATATGTGATATTTCATCACATAGTCTCTAAAAATCACCTTTGACAGGTTATCCCCTGATAAGTTTTCCTTTGCCTCCTTCCTATCAATATCTTGCTATGCAGGAAGCATCCTTCCAGAATTCACTTTTATTACATGTTGCCTTATATTTGTTTTTCAGTCTAAGGAATCTAATTGTTCTCCAGATCCCAAGTCGCTGTACACTATGCTTAACATTGCACTAGCTACTCAGAATTGGAGGTCAAAGAAGTTTCTTTTAAGTTAAAGTTTAATTTTTCAAAAGGCAAATATTTTTTATAGCATATAAACAATGTGAAGATAATAGGAAAACACAATAGAAAAAAGATCCTCAATTATACCTTTAGCATTTCACAAAAATCCTTCATATATCAGTGATCATTTCTAGTGAGGGTCTTTGTTTGCTTGCTTGTTTAGACAGGGCCTATATCATGATTCCCCTGTGCCCACCGCACCTCCCCACTCCCCCTGGGTTGCTGGCACTACATGCAAGGTGCCCAGCTTTTAGGATGTACCCGGAAGCAAACCTGGGCTTCCATGTGACCTCAGCCTGTGGAATACCAGTGTCAACCACTGTTTTAGCTCATGCTTGGGCCCATAGTGAGTTTCAATGGTGTTTATTGAATGAGTTAATACATGCTAATTCACTTAAGATTTCAAGGCTTTGGATTTTGAAACTTGACATATCTTAATTCTCAAATAAGAATCTCTTTTGGTACAGACATTAGTTATAATGCTCATTTTATCAGACAACACATTTAGACTAACGACTTTGCTCTACCTCAGGATCCTGGTAGCCAGTACTCACAGGTCAATGAGGCATAGAGATAACAGTATGGCTTTAATTGAGGTCATACCCATGCTCTCTAAGTAGGTAAAGATTCAATGGACTTGGCGTTTGTTAAAAACCTGAATTATTACTTTGTAGAACATTAACACTGATTCCAATGAAATACCTTCAAACATAGGCCTTAGAGATGTGAGACATAAAGCATTATTTAAAAGTGGAAATGTTATTCATATTTTTTAAACAATGCAAAATAAAGATTTTGTAATACATTTTTTTCTACATCAAGCTTCCTTCAAAAAGCTGACGTCAGGGGAGGCATTAGGACAGTGAAAGGTTGTATTGATATCCCTGCTTATTTATATTACGAATGATTTGGAGTTTAATTTATCCTTAAATGAGAATGTTAGACAGATACTGATATAGAAAAAGGGTCTCGTTCTCAAATTAATTTTTCTTGATATTAGAAGTGTTTTCAGAAATTGAGCTGATCGATTCCATTATTTTGTGCCAACTGATAAATATTTTAGTATATAACATGATTTTTATGATAATATTTTAATTTTAATTTGTATATTTATATATTTTATTGATATTATATATAATTTAAATATATATAAATTTATAAATATGTTTTTAATAAGTTTATACATTTGTATTTTATTTATAGGTGATATATAAAATTATAAATACATGTAATTTATTTTTAGATTTTTCCGTAGGGTGCATGCACTTGCCTGAGAGAGAGAGAGATAGAGAGGGAAAGTGAGAAATCACCCCCCACAAGGTAGATGGCATGCTCTAATCCCTTTTCCATTCTCCTCTTGGGATTTTTGGCATGGATGCATACAGGTATGTTTTTTTAAGCTGCCTGGTCCCAAACGCAAACCACGGAATTAGCCATGTGGTATCCCGTGCCTTAACCACCATGCCACCTGCTAGCCCAGTGTATTATGTTATTTTTAAAAAACAGTTTTAACCACCTGCATGTTGCAGTACAAGTCATGACTACTAGTCTCTTGCATTGGTCACTCATGGTGATATGATGTGATTAATACAAAAATGCATAGCCCAGCTATAAGGATTGTGCATCCTCATGAGAATTTAAGCACTGGTGAAGCATGCTGGTTGCTTTCCTTTATAGGCAAGAGTTCATTTGGAAAGAGTTCATTCTGTCAGAGTCTAAGGCATCAAGTTGAAAAAAATTACTTCTCTTTCTCTGCTTGAATCCCTTATGTAGAATCCCTTAGAAAGAGTTTAGGAAATGAAGCTCAATATTTTTCAGAAATGTACTGTAAACAATAAAAATGCTATTTTTTACCAAGGCAGAGCAACATTGTTTCTACATTTGTCCATTAACTCTTTCAGTTTCTTTGGTAGAGGATCTGCGGTGGAAGGAACTGATAGTATAGTTCTGGCCAAGGGAAATGATTCCACTATTTATGAGATACTGAAAAGCAGCTTTTAGAAATTAAAGCGAACAGGGAATGTATGGCGGGCCACTGAGTATGAAAGTCTGGCCTGGATTATCATGTCATTTACAGACACTCTTCGTCCATCTGTAGGATCTAAACAGGCTGCATTTGATCTATTCCTGACATTTTCACATCGCGACCTCAAAATCATTCAGTGGCAAACATTTAACTCTGAATAGACTATAGTTTACAAGCCTTATGAGTATGCTGAGGGTTATGAAACAAGCACAATGAAAGTGTCCTTGAAAAGAGTTTTTTTTTTCTCTTTCTTAAATGTTCTTCTGTTGGTATTGAAGATTTTTAAACGAGGCTGTCACAGAAACATAGCTTCTGCTGTCAGAAATGCAAATATTATACATTGAAAAGTTTTATGTACTTTAGCAAAAACAAAAACATTTGATTTACCTTTAACTTGGTGGAGCTGTTAGCAGCCAACTAAGTCTGTCAATGAAATGAGAAGCAAAGGCTGGAGAAGAGGGGAGTTTATTTCTGTAAGTTACAGAGATACAACTATTAGGTACCATCAAACTATCTCGAAAAACTCGACATGTCCTCAGTATTTACAGGTACAAGATACAAGCAGATGCAAATCATTCATCACTACACTCGATCAGAGTCAATTGCTTTCCCCTGAATCATTATCCTGATTCCTGTTTTAACCTCAAATACTCAGTCCTGGTTTCTCTAACCATTCCTCAGCACATCTCCCCATGACACAGCAGTTGTTCAGCGTGTTCTTGTTAGAAGCCTTTCTTAATTTCAAATAGCTGCAGTCCTGCTGGCCTTCTTCAGAGGTGCACCATTTAGATGCAGTTTCCTTTAACAGAGACAATCTGATTTATTTATCTGAGTATGAAAAGTGAAACTCATTTGTCAACTGCAAGGCTACTCTGTTATACAAATTCAAATAGAGAATATTCAAACGAGACAGATTGGAGTTCTCTTTCCAGTTTTATTTTAATCCCAGCCCCCTGTGTCACTCTTCTTATTATTCATTACCATGAAATGATGGGTTTTGATAGTCTGACCATAGTTGTGACTTCTTAAAACATTGTGGGTTTCATACCTTCACACACTTGGCCAGAGGTAAGTCAGGAGTGGGAACTTCAAAAAAATGTCATGGGAAAATGGGATTAAATGTGAGTTTAATTTGGCGTCAAACAAAATAAAAATCCCATACATAGCTTTTTCACAATACGCATTTTTCTTGAACTTTTTGGAGACCTTTAGTATGTTAAGTCTTTAGAAAGTCATAATTATGATCACAAATTACCATTCTATATATTTCAGGATGTCTAATTGTGGCATCCACACCTCTTCTTCCTTTTGTAAAGATAATAATCATAACACACTTGTTATTTTCATCTACCAAACATTATGAATCATTTTCCACATTTAATCCTCATGGAAATTGATACTCAGGAACTACAACCTGACAAATAAAGAACCGGACAATAAGAGGAAAGATAAACACATGTGACCAAGGTACTGTAAAAGCATAATCAACTCCAAATCACAGCGTTTTAGTCACTAGGGTATGCCTCGAAGTCATTAAGGGCAGAGCTCGTTAGTCTTCTAATGAGTCTTCCCAGGCATTTTCACTTGTCCTTCCTCTCCTTGAGTCATGATAGATGCCTGAGGGGAAATAGGTTGAAGATGAGATGATGAGACAACGGGACATGGCCAATTCCTTTCTCACACTCCCTACCTGAGACAAACTAGATGTAGAAAACACAGAGAGGAAAGGCTTAGGGGAAAATTAAGGAAAGTGGGCAAAAAGGGAGGCTTTGAACATAGCCAGTGTGAGACGCCTATGATCTGGGGCTGGCTGAAGCTGGTGTGCATCACGGCACCAAGACTCTGTTAGGAGTACTTGTCTGCCTCTCCCTCTCCCTTCTCTCTCATGGAAGAAAGAAAAGAAACAGAAAGTAGACAAAGATTTTTCCACACTAGTAGCCTTCTCTCCTGTCAATGTCCATGACTATGATGCTTCCATCATTATTCAAGCCTCTTCTCCCTGGGACAGTTGCTGGTTGAGTTATTCCTGTCTCAACCAGGACAGTACTGAGTGTCTTGCTTCTTTATGTTTGTCTCTCCTTTCCTGCTTTGTTCCAAACACTGATCTTCCCTGTATGGATCTTTGCTCATTATGTATTTCTTTCAATAGTGCCAATGGGTTAAATGCTTCATGGGGAAGAGTGTTAGATACCACTGGAAGTGATGTCGTATTTCGTTTCCAGAATATAAAGAAATTGAGTTCCTTATATAATCGCAGAGGACATGGTGTGGGCTTAGTTAAGAGGACTTGGAGTGGGCTTATTTAATATATTTATTTTTTTAATTTACTTACTGTATTTTACCATTGTATAACCACCCAGCCTGCTTACTTGACCATCCTAATTCCACAGCAGTTTCAATATTGTGTTTGTGCAGACCTAACTTTAACTCTGAAAAGAAACAACCTGTTCAAAATATTAGCTTTCAATTGGAAATAAAATTGTGTTCAAATGACTATAGCATGAAAAATATGGATGTTATCATAGGTGGGATCAGATTGAAAGTCCTTTAAGCTGATGCAAAGGAATTGGAATTTAGTTTGATGTGAGTGAAACTGGAGAGAGAAAACTATTACATGTTAGTGCAGCACTTTTTTATTTTTCTGTTTTCTCACAATTAGCAAATTTGATCTGCAGAGTCTCTGGTATGTTACACACACACACTCCTTCTAAGCAATAATTGTGTATTTTGGAAAGGCCTCTAGGACATTCTATATGTTACATTTTTGTGACATATTGAGTATCTCTAAAGTAAAATCTTGAATTTAAATAGGAAAGAAGTGGGTAGGATCCAGGTATATAAGAGAGATATTCAGAAACTAACAAGGCCAACATCATCTACTCCTTAGGTACGTTTTTGTAATAAATCTATGAAGACCCTTTGTCTTTATATCTACCATTTTTAATGTAGAGCCCAACCAAGATAGCATGCATGTTCCTAAATACTAAGGGGTCATTTTAATATATTTTTTGTATGTGTGTGTTTAAAATGTGTTTTCTTCTTTTTTTTTTTTTCCTGTTGGAGGATAGATGTGATTTTAAGGTAAACATCAGTCAGTGTCCTTGAGTTGATTTGTTTCCTTTTTGTGCTTCCAAAGCATATTCTATGATATAAGTGCTCCACTTCCTGCAGGGCTCCACAGCTATTATATCAATTAGCACCAATTAATCATTTATACAACTCATGACACTAAAGGGGCAGACAAGCTCACAAGTGCTTATTACCTCCGGTATTGACAAAGCATTTCTAACTAAAGCCTAATTCATTCAGGTTTTACTCAGACGTGATTCATTGACTCAAAAGCTAAGGTTTGGGCATAGTTAATGATTAAAGTAGAGGGTCTAACTTTGGATTTAGGATGAAATTTTAATCCCCTTCCCCGTCTTTTTTAAACAATTAAATGTAATGCTGAATGGCAGCTTACCTGGTGTCTCTTAGAACTCTTCATTGCTTATTTTGATATTGATCTATAATTACAGAATTTTATTTTCCTTTTCATTTGACTAGGTTCCGTATGACTTTGTTAAAGCATCTGATGCTTAAATACTATTTGGGGCTAGTAGGTGACTTGGAGGTTAAGTGACTGGGACCACATGGCTGACCGTGTGGTTCAAGTCCTAGACCCAGAAGCTTGAAAAATCACAGCAGGTGAGTGTATAAGTGTAAAATCCCAAGAGGAGAATAGAGAAGAAGGGATTAGGCTATCTCTCCTCAGGGGTGATTTCTCACTTTCCCTCTCTCTGTTTCTTTCTCTCTCTCTCTCTCTGTCTCTTACACACACACCCTATAGCAACTAAAAAAAACAAAAAACAACACAAAAAAAACCCAAAATCAACTAGATTATTTTAGTATGTGATAACTTTTTACATTTACTCCGTTGTATTCAAACCTCAGGATTAACCTGGGTTTTATTTCTGTGTTAGGACCTGTTAACATTGAGCCTTTTTCTCTCTTTCTGTGATAGAACTTCCTTTGAATTGTTTTGGTCACATTGAGTTGGAAACTTCAGGTTCACCAAGAAAATGAAGCAGACTATTTGCGTTCTCCCGTCCCATCGTCCCTCATCACAGTGCACGATGATTGGACAGTACTTGAGGAGTATTGTCTGTCTTGAAGGTGGGACTTTGGAATGCTCTAAGTGCCCCTTAGCCAGGGACCATCCTAATGCTCTGCAACACAAGGGCCAGTAATTCCAGAGAGTTTTGCACATAGTAAACTTTGTGGGAAATGAGTTTCTGATGCTTTTTGTTATCAATATTGGAATAAAAACAATGTCAGTGGTGACTCTGGATCATAACTTTCAACACATTTTGCATTCTGGGAGCCGCTTTTCTTTTCTTTAATAGGAACATTGAAAGAAATAGTATAATTGCCAAAAGACTTTGAGAAATATATTCAGAAGATATTATTTTTATCCTTTTCACAATAGTTTATTCTCTGGAAAAGAAGCACATATATTTGGTGTACTTAATGAAAACAAAGCAGACAATAGTACATTTCTGAATGTCTCTGTAAGAATATAGATTGTAAGACCAAAATGCACTGATTTTGATTAATTACATGGGATTAGTTCAAAAGTACTTTTACTTATTAAAATATTGCAGTTGTTTTCAGATTCGAGGGTAAAGAGAAATTACCACTTTTTCTCTGACAATTAGCTGTATATTTAGATACATTTTTGAATAGTTCAGCCTATTAATTTTGATGTTGATGATGATTCAAGTCTCCTGTGAGTATTAAATAAGAACCTTTCTCACTCTCCCTTCCTCTCTCTCACAAACACACACTTAATTTTTTGGCATCTTCTGACAATTTCTTTCTGTTCTTTCAGTGCCTTTATTCTTCAGTACTACCTCTCCCTCCCACACACAAACACACACAGACCCCACTTAATCCAGCCTTGAGAAAAATCAGACCTTAAACGGAGTGTGTTCTTCTTTTCTTATAAACTGGGTCACCAACAGTCTGCTTCTGGGTCATTGCCTCATTTTCTTTGCAAATGCTTCACTCTCCTTTAAAACTTAAAAAATTTCCCAGAGAAGAGTCTTAAAAATCTTTCAGCCCAAAGCTCAGACTACAAACA